CTAGCTTACTCACAGAACTAGAAATAAACAGTCCTAATACTCATGTGAAAAATAAAAGCCCCAGAATAATCAAAGCAGTGAACAATAAGAGCAATGCTGGAGACATTACATTATTTGATCTCAAATTATACTACAGAACTATAGTAACAAAAGTAGCATGGAATTGGTGTCAAAACAAACATGAAGGTCAATGGAATAGGATAAAAGACACAGAAAAAGAAAACTCCACATAGATACAGTCATCTGAATCTTGATAAAGATGCCAAAAACATACATTGGAGAAATGATAGCCTTTTAAACACATGGTTCTAGGAAATCTGGATGCCCATACATAGAAAAATGATAAATGCCTATCTCTCAGCCTGCACAGAAAATCAACTCCAAGTGGATTAAAAACCTAAGAACTAGACCACACTCTCTGCAACTGCTAGAAGAAAAGATAGCATCAATACTCTGACATATTGGCACAGGCATAGGTTTCCTTAATAAGACTCCTAAAACCAAGAATCTATAGTGGGATGGAATAAAATTTAAAACCTCCTGCACAGCAACAGAAACAAGTGTGTGAGTAAAGAGTCTACAGAATGAGAGGAAATCTTTGCCATCTAGTCTTTGATAGAGGGTTGATATCCAGAATAGGTAGAGAACTAAAAAAGAATGACACCAGAAAAACAAATAACCAATCAATAAATGGGAAAATGAGCTAATCATACACTTCTCAAAAGGAGAAATACAAATGTACAACAAATACATTAAAAGAAAATGCTCAACATACCTAGAAATCAGACAAATACAAGTCAAACTACATTGAAATTTCATCTCACTCCAGTTAAAATGGCAGTCATCAAGAAGACAAATAACAATAAATGCTGATGACAATACAGGAAAAAAAGGCACACTTATACATTGCTGGTAGGATTGCAAATTAGTGTAATTGCTCTGGAAAGTATTACAGGTACTTCTCAAGACTACGAATGGAACCACCACAGCTATTCAACTCCTTAGTATTTATCTAAAAGAACAAAAGTCAGCATATTGTAGCAATGTGTGAATACCAGTGCCTATCACAGTGTAATTCACAATGGCTCAAGTTATGAGACAGGCTTAGGTGCCTGTCAACAGATGAATGTATAAAGAAAATGTGGTCTATGCACACAATTGAGTTTTTTCTCAGTCATAAAAGAGAATGAATTTATGTCACTTGCTGGTATATAGATGGAGCTAGACAACAAAATGGTAACTGAAATAAGTCAGACTCAAAAAGTTGGAGGTCAAATATTTTTACTCATATTTAAAATCAAGAGTGAAAAAAGGGATATTACAAAAATAGAAGGAGACCAATAAAATAGAAGAAATGGATCAGGAGAGAGGAAGGAGGGGAGAATGTTGGGAATACAGGGGAATTAAATCAAACAAATTATGCTATGTCTATGTGCAAAAATGCCACAATGAATCCCAATTTTGTACATAATTATAATGTACTATTTTTTAAAAAAATAGTTAACAATAAGAAACCAGTAAGTAGAAGAGTGTTCCAGGAGAGAGGTTGGAAGGGAAAGGGCTGGTCCTGGGGAATGAGGTTTTTCAAAGTACATCATGTATATGCTTAAAAATGTCACAATGAATCCCATTATAAGGTATAATTATAAAGAACCAATAAAATCATTAAATAGGTGAAACTTTGGTGGCCAGGAGTGGACACACAACCCTGCACTGAATTCAGTTCTTCAGTGACGTGTCTAGAAAGTCCACTAGTTTCAGAATTGGATTTCAGCATCTACACTTCGCAGGAAGCATGGGCCCCAGAGAAAGAAGTTCATCCAGGGGAGACTGAAGATGTGACCTGGATGCAGTGTGGAACATAAAGCCCAGAGCCACTGCAAGACTGCATGGGGTGAGGAAACATCAGAAGCCTCCAAAAGCACACAGGGCAGAGAGATGCCCTCATTTCCTGCCTTGGAAGGTGCTCTGTTGTACAAGGCTGGGATGCAAAGGGCAATGTTCAAACAGGGATATCACAGGGACAGTGGGTGAGGAATAGTGCAATTGCATAGCCCCTATGAGGTGACTCAAGGGGAACGGAAAGATAATTGTCCTTGGAAGGATTCAATCTCTCAGCAATTTATCTCAAGGAGCACAGTGTGGGGGAATTTGTTCATGTGTGTAGGGTTCCTTCCTTCTTTGCTTATTCCCTGCCATTCTTTCCTTTTTCCCTTACTTCTCAGAATCCAATTGAAACAAAGGAACAAACAAAATACGAGGAATTCCAACCCCCAGTCCAGATGAAGTCAGCATTTGATTACTATTCAATGGCAGAAAATCTGTTTGATCTATATCAAGGCAAGGAGGAACATTTTGTACATCCAGGGCATGGTGAAGCCTGGAGTCCCACCTGCTTAGGAGGCTGGAGCATCAGGATTTCTTAAGCCCACAAGCCTGGACAAGTTAATGACAACCCCCCTTCAAAAAATTGTATATAGCCCATATACAAAATCCATACACGTTTCCTTTTAAAATCATTTTAATTTGGAAATTACATATTTAAGGAGCTAAAGATATTTGCTTGTTGAAGTTCAGAGAGTTTTTTTCCCAAAGTTTCTATGAGATTATCATGAAATTAAGAAACCAATTGAAGTATAATGTTGAAGTGTTAAGTCATAACTTTCCCTTGGTTCAAAGTAAAAATGAACAAAACCAATACATAAAAAAATAAAGAAATAAACAGATGAATCTCATTTCATGATGGCAAGATAATTATAAGAGAAATGTATCAATATCATAAAATGGAAATCAGACAGGAGCCCACTGATGGATGAAACAGAGAAAGGAAAAGCTCAGCCCAGAATGAGCTGTGTGAAGATCGCAGTGGGAATGTGAGTGGAGGAGACCAGTTCCACCAGACCCCCAAAATCTCACATATGAGATAATGCAAGAAAGTTTAGGGGAGAAATGATTGGGCTACAGCCTTAACATAATTAGTGAATTAATTCCCTGATAAGGATAAATTGAGTGTTAACTGAAGTGGTAGGGTGTGGCTGGAGGAGGTGGGAATTGGGGTGTAACTATGGGGTATATATTTTGTATCTGGAAAGTAGAGTTCTCTCTCTGCTTTTCAATCACTATATGAGCTGCTTCCCTCTGCCTCACTCTTCCACCATGATATTCTGCTTCACCTGGAGCCCTGAGGAATGGAGCCAGCCTTCAATGGACTAAGACCTCTGAAACTGTGAGCCCTCAAATAAACTTTTCCTCCTCTACAATTGTTTTGGTTGAGTCCTTAAGTCACAGTGGAAAAAAGCTAACTAAAACATTATGCTTAAAAAAGTCTGACTTAGTTTTAAGTAATAATCCCTTATATTTATTTAGACCTTTTCTATTAACAAATCATTTGAGTTAAATTATTTCAATTCTTCAAGATTGATAAGACCATCCACAGATACCCTATTTAATTAATGATGAAAGTAAAAAAAAAAAAAAATAGAATACAGAAATTAGAAAAGTCTCTCAATAAGTGAATGCCACCAATGTTCCAGCAAATTTTCATGTTAACAGCAGACATTGTTGGTGTTCAGCCTAAATCCCCTGTCCCAGGCTCTTGTAAACAATACCCAGATGCTGTGAGTGTTGACTACTCTTGGTTCAAAGGTGGTCTTTCCCCACAAAATTGACCTCTGCTACTAGAAGTCACCATTGCCCAATAGCATATACCTCTATTCCAGGAAAAAACACTGCCAATGACTTCAGTACTTTGTTTTTGCACAATATGTCAGTATTTCACCCCCTTACCTGAAGGTGAGAGGGATCAAATCTGCAGTACAATTCATGCCCCAGAGCTCCCAAAAGGATCAGGCCAAATTGACATTACAACATCCATGTTTAACCATTCTCCATCTTAACCTGCTTTCCTCAACAAATTATGAACAAAATAATTTCAATTCATGCTCCCCATTTAAGAAACTCAACCTATCATAACATCCTATTTCATTTAATTCTGAAAATAATTCTGAAGTAAATAATATAGCATAATATCTAATTCCTAATTAGTAACATAATAAATGTTCAAACCAGCTCTACCCAGGCTCTTTCCTGAGTGCCATTATGTCAGAGACATGCAAAAAGTTGGACCTGAAATTGAAACATCTTGATTATAGCACGACTTTCTTCCTGTTATGGTGTAGGTGTGAGATGTCCTCCAAAAGTCCTGTGTTAATGCAGGAATATTCAGAGATTAAATATTAGATTATGAGAGTTGTGACCTAACCATTCCATCCTAATTTGAAAGAACTACTATACTGGGTGGTAACTCTGGCCCACTGAAGCATGGCTGGAGAAGCTGAGTAAGTAACTGGGGGTGTGTCCTTGGGCTTGTGTCTTGTCCTCCTGGCTCCTCCCTTCCTCTCCCCCCCACCCCCTCCTTCCTTGATTCTATGAACAGAGCAGCACTGTTTCACCTGCCCTTCCACCATGATGTTCTGCCTCATCTTGGGCCAAAGAGTAATGGAGTAATGGAGTTAGCTAATCATGAACTGATCCCCTGAAACTGTGAGCCAAATAAACTTTTCCTCTCTTAAGTTGTTCTTGTTAGGTATTTTGGTCACAGTAGCAAAAAGAAAAAAAAAAATGCTTAACACACTGCTCTTCCTCACTACCTTCTAAGTCTTTCTTCCATGATTTAAAACATCTATCCAGTTATCAATTCTTCAGATGGAGAATTCAAAGCAAATTCTGATTGGGTTGCATCCATTTAGCAAATGACTATGTGAACAAAACTAAACATAAATCTTTTTTAAATTTTTTTTAGTTGTAGTTGGACACAACATCTTTATTTTATTTATTTTTATGTGGTGCTGAGAATCGAACCTAGGGCCTTGCACATGCTAGGCGAGTGCTCTACCTCTGAGCCACAACCCCAGCCCATAAACATAAATCTTAATTCCCCATTTGCATGCTTCTCTAGCCCCCTAGACAACGTTACCAATGACAGAACTAACAACTTCAAGTTCAGCTTTACAGTAAGTATGATTTTCATTTATTTTCTGTAATTCACCTTAATATCGATTACAAAGGTTTAGTGGCAAACAAAATCCATAGAGCCCTAGAGACATAGGAGGGTGACATCTATATGATCTTCAGTGTTTCCCAATCTCCTCACCAACATTTGCTGAAAGACTCAATACCTTGTCATCTATGACAGCTGATTCATGAAGGACTATGCTCTCCAGAATGAAGCCCCTTGTGTCTGAGACTCTTTCAGATCCTTTCTCATGGATCCATTTCCAAATATTAGGAGTCATTTTGTGCTCCCAGCCCTGGTGCAGTGGGGCTCTCTGTGGCTATGACTGCTGTTCCCCACCTCTCTGTACCTCTCCCCAGTGCACAGGCATCAAGGAACTCAGGGATTCTGAGTTCCATTTGGCCTTTATTCAGAAAGAGAAACATGGACTCTCCCTGATATTTGATCTCTGCAGTCATCTGACCTTCTTGTTTCATCATCTCACCCTCTCACTCTAGTCCTTCCTCCTACCCATCCAATGTCCAGGAGCAAGGTTACAACTGAGAATGGAAATGAGATGGGAGATCAGAACTAAAATAATTGGGGCTTAAAAACTTTCCCAAAGTGGTTTTTTTCATGAATCCTTTATTTGTGGGATTACACTCCTAATGCAATATTTACTACTCTTTAATTCCCATCACATTTAGAGCACAAAAGACTCTCTGCTCTGTGGTCTATGCTCTACCTCAGGCCTCCTGGGACAGTAGGTTTCTGTGCAGCTGCAGGTGCCTGGGGAGCACTGTGTGCTCACTGCACAGAAGTAGGTGGCTGAGTCACTGAGCTGGGAGCCTCTGATGTGCAGGAAAAGATGTCGTTTGGCTGTATCAAGCTGCGTTGTGAATCTTCCTTGACCTTTTTCACCATTGGAGAATATGGATATCAGCAACTTGGGACCTTTCCCAGAATACTGTCGGTACCACCTGAAGTTCTGAGAAGCACTGTCACTGTAAGTGCAGTTGAGAGAGGCCACAGCTCCCTCTGGAACACTGAGGGCTTCAGGACTCTGTTCCACTGCCTTCTGTTGGCTGTGCACCCCTGTGCAAAGACAATGGTCTAAGAAGGGTGGTTGGGTAGTGGACACTCTACAGGATTTAAATTACCCTTTCATGGGCCTCCCATCCTCCCCGAGTTAGAAGGTAAAGTCTTTCATGTTTCTTCTCATGGGCCTAGAATAGACAATAACTGCAAATATTGTTCTTTATGCTCCCACAGAAATGCCCAAACTCACAGCTCAGCTGAAGCCACAGGATCAGTAGTAAAACACCCAGGGATTTCATCTTTCTCTTCTCCCCTGGTTCATGAAGGAATCAGATGGTAAACCCTAAAGAGAGGGGAGGAGGCTCATTTAGATGTTTCTGATTCTTCTGCTTTAGAAAACATAAAAAGAATCTGTTCTTGCAATTAGAAAAAAGAGGTGTTTTTACCATCCCTGCAACACCAACAAGCCCTTCCCCCTCCCACTCCCTACCCTCCTCCCCACCCCTCCAACACATACAGAGAAGCATCTGACAGCTTTCCTAGAGGTCCCTGAGAAGACAGTGCCATCTTGTGGACTCATGATAGTCACCCTTCTTAACTGTAAACTATTTACACTAAAATTCTGCCACCTGAGTTATAATTAAAAATTTAAGAAACATTTGTTCCAAGTCAATGGGGAGGGGGCATGTATATGTGTATGTATTTTATATCCAAAGGTCATCTTTTCTGATTAAGAACAATTATTTCAAATGACTATTTATCTGCACTGAAAATCATTCCTAACAGTTCTATTATAGAAATCTGTGTGAGGGTCTTGCAATTCAAGCAGCATTTCATATTTCCCAATTCAAATTGAGGAACCCCTATACCACCCCCTCATCTCTAATGTTTAAAGTTACTTGTAATTCACCAGAGTTCTTTCAAAACAGAGTTGTTTAAAATCTGGTTTAACAAGCATGGCTTCAGCTCTCAGTCTGGACAATATTTTCTAACAAGGTCAAAAACTGGAGAAACTTGGACAATTTTATCCATTTAACACCAATGACACATTTGTGTCCAAACAGTGCTAACATGGGTTCATGCAGGAGGGAGGGGGCTGTCTTCAACACCTAGGCTCTAAGTAAAACCCAATGTTACCTGTTTGTCTAATTGCTCTTATTCTCCTATCTTGAATAAAGTCCTGGTATCTAGGGGTTGACCTTTGAAAGTTCTGGATCAGATCTCTTTCCCCCGTTTGCATCTACATCCTAACTAACCACCCAGCCAGATCTATCAGAGGGTAACTAAGCCAGAAGCCCAGCTGGGTCTGCAGAGAGACAAGCACATACAGCTCACATTCCTCCCTTGTCCTGCAGCCTGCTTCATGTGGTAACTCAAGCTGGTGCCTGGAGGGCAGCAAAGCAGCAGGCCCTTCTCTACTCAAGAGCCAGGTAACCAGCATCCACCAATGATGGCCTGGTCATGTTATAGTTAAAGCTTTCATCCCAGGCTTTCATAAACTGACTTCCAGACCACTCACGTATAATCAAATCAAGCCTTTATTGAAGCACACCAGTGGCGGCTGACCAGAACATAAAGCTGTTCCCCTGATCAGCCCCGAACAATTGCAAGGTCGCTCCTTATAAGCCTGAAAACCGCAAAAGGGATGTTCATGGGTCTAGCCCATGCAAGCAAGCCAGGTTGCAGAAGCAGGAGAGTGCAGTTAAACGGCGGGAAGCCTAACCAATAACAGTTAGCCCAGTCACCCCAGTTACAGAAACAGAGCCCCGTTACCCTAGTTACAGAAACAATGACCCATTAGATAGTTCTGTGTTCTTAAAGGTTTCTATAGCAAAAGGAAAAGAACATCTTGCCCCAGTCACGACCCTTCTACTTGGCATGGTTGTTTTTCAGGATGAAGTCATAAAACAAAATGAAGTCACATTTGCTTCTACTATCATAGTCAGACCCTTCACATTACCATCAGCTGCATAGGAATCAGAACAAGAGGGAAGAAGCCAGTATCAAGGTCTTTTTATCCAAGAGCAAGTTATGCTTGACAAAAATAACAATAATACTGCTTAGTAAAGATGAAACCAAAGTAGGAATGATAGAAGTACAAGATGGCAGTTACCTCAGACTTGAAAATGTTTGAAGATGAAACCTAAGGCCTAGAAATCAGATGTGGGCCTGAGGCACAGTCTTTTAAGAAATTCACCTCTTTCTAAAGATCTGTCCCAAAATAATATAAATGGGTTAATACATCTAATGTGGTTGTAAATCCAAGGGCCACATCAGTGATGGCAAGATGACCGAATTCATCTAGCATCAGTTTTATTCTGAAAAAGCCTCTGTGCTTAAAGATGTCTGAAAGGAATGTGAAAATACTTTGGGTGCCTGCAGGACGGTGTTATGACAATCAGTCAAAAAGGAAAACCATAGTTCTTTCCCTCATTTGTGTTAAGCAGACTTTATTTTATACAGTAATAAATTTTGTAGATTTGTTTTGTGAACCACAAGATACTGAAAACCTATTTCCTCTCCACAGGCAATTCATAAATTGAGATGAAAGCTACTATAAATGCTACTAATTTGGGGTCCATATGACATATGTAAGTTGACTATCAAAAAAAAAAAAAACAAGAATGAAGGTAAGAAATAGCCTAAGACACCTGTGGGATATTATCACATGTACCAATATAAGTATTTAAGTTATATAGGAATAAAGAAAAAAAACAAAATTCTGGCTTTTATTTATCTATGTAGTTACCTTTACCATGTTCATGATTTCTCTGTGGTTCCAAGCAAGGAAGTAGCTTCCTTGTGCCCTTTATTTCAGACTTGGAAGATTCCCTGTAGAATTTCTTGTAGGAAAGATTTTAAGTAAGAACACCCAAAGTCTTGGATGTTCTTGGACTATCTCAATTTCACTTTTATCTTTGAGAAGTAGTTTTGTCGAATGTAAAACCAATGGTTGACTTTTTTTGTTTGTTTCAGCTTTCTCTTCCCACTGCCTCTGGTTTACATGATAGCTCACATGACATTGTCAATTTTGTTAAATATTCCCTGCATGTGATTATCACTTCTCTCTTGCGACTTTCAAGATTCTCAATTTGTCCTTGTTTTTAATAGTTTAATTATAATATGTCTGAATGGGGATTTCTTTGCCATTATCCTCTCAGCACATGTTGAACTTACTAGATGTGTAAACTCATGTATTCCATCAAAGTTGAGGAGTTTTTTTGGTCTTTATTTCTTCACTTATTCTTCCTTCCACTTTAATTTTCCCCTACCCATCTCAGATTCCTATTATACTTAAGTCTATACAATGTGGAAATATCCCCCAGATGTCTTAGACTATTTTTTGCATTTTCATTTCTCTGTTCCTTTAACAGTATAATTTCAATTGATATATGTCTGAGTTTGAGGATTTTCTTTTGTGCTCAAATATCCTATTAAGTCCTTCTATTGAAATTGATTTTTGAAATAATTTCCCCTGCATAGCAATTTCTCTGCCCTGATAGAGTTCTGGGTTATCTGGAATACAGACAAGCCAGTTCCATTAGTCCTTCAGGGAGCCACTGGACAGATCAAAGTTGTTGAGCACTATTCTTTGATAACAAGGCCCAGTGTGTTGCCACTAGTACCAGAAACCACAACAGAAATATATGTTGACATGTAAAGATTATTATCTTAGATCCAATAATGGGAAAACATAGCAAAGGTATGTTAAAACACCACCAAGTTTTCCCAATAGGCTTTGTTATTTTTTCTTGATTGTTTTCTTGGTTACTAGAAATTTTATATTGTGTTTGGCTGGAGTAGACTACTTATTGTCTTGAAGTTTTCTGAATTGTGAGGCTATCCTTGTTGTGGGCCTTTTGCTATAGGGAGCAGAATTTTCTTGGAGATTATTCTCTGTAACCACGGTCTTTTCCAGGTTAATGGCTTCTGCAGGATCCAACTGGGTTATATGAAGCCAAAGAAAACTCATGGAACTCCCCAGTCTATCATTGCTCAGATCCCAGGCTCCAGTATGTCTCCCTTCTTCTCTCCACATTTTTGAGTCTTCTTATGCTTTATTTTTACATAATATTCAGGACTTTTAGCTGTATGTAACAGGAGGAATAAAAGAAAGTATATCTACTGCAACTTTCTAAAAGTGGAAAGCATGATGCTTCTTTCTTTCTTTCATCTACAACCTGGGGCCAATGTGATTGGTATATCCTCCTTCTAGTACTCTGGTTAAATGGTCTTAAAATAGGATTCTTGTTAAGCCTGGACTCACCCATCTGGTAAACATGATCCTAGATCAAACTGATAACTACCATTTATTTGAATTCACTCCACTTGAGTTCCTGTACAGTATCCCAAGAGAGCCAGATAGTGACTATCATGGGTTTCTGTACATGTCTTGAAAATACCCTGGTCCCTGCTTCTCTTATTCCTTCTAGTCAATAGGCTTGTGTATGACTAGGAAATTACTATTAAAAAAAAAATAAAGAAAAAAAGCAAAGAGAGAACATTTTGTTCTGGTGAAGAAAAATAAACTACCGTGTCATCTGGCAAGGGAAAACCCTAGACCCTTGGAGATGGAGACAGGGGGGAGATTAACAATCACTTTGCTAAAGCAAGCACAAAAACCCAGCACAGTATGACATGATTTGCTGGAGTGTAGCTGGAGTGAAGCAGCAGCTGCAGCTGGAAATCTAACCTGCTCCTTGCTTGTCATTCCCTTCCACATTCCATGGAAACTGGAAACTCATGTGAAGATGGCCTCTCCTAAGTTATTCTACTACATCAAGGGCAACTTCCCATCCTGGAGGTGCATTCCCACACTGTACAAACACAAGAATCAGCACATTTTCTTCATCTGACCAATACAAATATACTTTGCTCATGGTGTCCGAGCAGTACAGGCTAGTCCATGAATGCCTACAGAGGTTGCAGATACTCAGTTACACTGCTCCTACAGTTTAACCAAGGAGATGCAATACCAATCTAAATAAAGTTTAGCAATAAATCCCCGATAGGATTAACCTGTCACTTTAATATTTTACACTTATGATTTGGGGGAAGGGGCCATGGAAAATCTCCCTATTGGGAATGATGGTTGGGTTTTGGTCTCTTTTTTGATGAACCAAAGATTAGCCCATCAGTCCAAACTCCCATGTCTGGGTCATAATGCATAATACACTATATCCTTGTTGTCTATATTCTGGGATTTATTCAAAGTTAGCTGAATCCGGAATCATAGGAGACTTAAGTGTGATTAATACCATCGATGGGTTTCATCCTGATGCTTACAATTCTGCTCAAGTCACTTTAATTAAATGCTATTTGAGGCAATATGAATGTAATTACTCTTAGCTTCTGTGAGTTAGATTAAGCACAAGTGGCATTCACATGAGAA